GATGCTGTGAATCATTTTGTCTAGTTTATCTTCCTTTCCCTGTTCCGCTTGGCCAAGTGGAGAGGTGATATCTGGATCAAGGAATGAGATTAAGTCTTTTTCCACTAATTCGTGGAGTTTGGTTTGCAGTGCAGGGGTTTCATGAAAGTCGTCTATTACTACCGTACCCTTACTTTCTCTCGTGGAAATTATGGTTTGGGCGTATTTAATGCCAATGCCTGGCAAGGTTGTCAATTCCTTAAGGGAAGTCTTATTTATGTTCAGGGCCTTATTGGGGCTTACAGGTTTATACCTAGAGCACAAACCGGCAAAATCAAATTTACGAAATATGAAAGTTGGTATTTAATGAGTGGCTTCAATTGCCCGTCACTTGTGATATACATATACGTGCACTGTCAACGCCCCTGTTGTAGTGACGCACAACAGATTGACCTGATTGACAGTACAATTTCGTACATGTACTTTGAATGCGTATCGTCAAAAATAAATGAAAACTGCAATTTTCAATTTCCGTTAGGCAATTTGGACAAATTTAACGTAGCACATGACGCTCGCAGGAATACCAATTTTCTAGATACATATGTACATAATTATATCAATATACAAGTATACAGAGATTAATATAGTCAAACATTGATCTAGCGTATTTCAATACTTTCAGCGAATACAGATTGTATCGAAATATATGCTCAAAGAGGATAATGCCGATGTATATTGTAATACTGGATTCGACCGACGTCAACAACATTCGACAGACGTAGATTATTGTCGACAAACAAATACAGCCTAAAAAACATACTCTACCTACTCTGAAAGTTGAATATAGGTGTATTCCAAAATAGTTTTCTGAAATTCTCAAATGAGCCGAAAATATTCTTGGAAAAACTGTATGAGTCAATTCCAAAAATCTCACACAGTATAAATATTTTTACCAACTAGTAATCTCACATCAACAATTGAGAATATTATCGCACGTAACGATTTATCTTCGTCGCCAATGTTGTAATTCGTACCTTAAGTTAATAGGTCGGTGCCCGCGCCCGCTGGTCCTGGAGGGAACAGACAACGAATTGACGCTCACTCTGGTATTGCTGGACACGGACTCCGTGCGACAGGGCTGCACAATGCTGCCCAGTCACCGGTCACGCCTGACTGGTTTATTATGCAACACTTATAAACGTAGTCATTACGTGTATTCACTACAACAGTAATGGTGTTTTTACTGTCAGTTTTAACATTAGTGGATACCACGGTTGTAATTTCCAAACTGGTGCGATTAGCAGAACTGTGGCTTCTTTTACTTGAATTTTCTGAAGGCACCTTGAGAGCAGACTGAAGGAAGGAAACAGATACCCTGCCATGTTGCACCAGTTGATGGTGAACGCGTCCACTTGCCATGCTTGTGGATCTGGGTGCCATGATATGAATCTTGGAACCTGTCTGTTGAGCTGTGATGCAAACAGATCGATCGACGGTTGAAATTTCATCTTTTCTACCACTGCTCTGTAAATTTCGGGGAGAAGATGCCACTCTGTGCGGTCGTTGAAGTTGCGCGACAATTCGTCTGCTATGACATTTTGTGCTCCTGGGAGATATTCTACTGACAATGTTATTTGTCTGTGTAGACACCATGTCCATATCTTCACTGCAAGGGATGACAATTCTCGAGAATGAGTCCCCCCGTTGTGGCTGATGTATGACATTACTGTCATGTTGTCCACCTGTAGTCGGATGTGTAGGTTGCGTTGATGGTACACCAATGCCCGAAGGGCGTAGTACGCTGACAACAGTTCTAGATGGTTGATGTGTAGATTCTGTTCCAATATCGACCATCTGCCGCCTGTGCGGATTTCGGATGTGCAAGCACCCCATCCTTGGAGTGATGCATATGTCTGGATCACCACATCCGGTGTTGGATTGAGTAGTGTTTGGCCGTTCCAAATTCTTACGCATTGTATCCAGCTTTTCAACTCCTCCTTGGAGGCGTGGGATAGGACTACTTCCGAGTCGTAGGAATTGCTGTGGTGAAGTGCCGTAATCTTGTCTTGCTGCAGATTTCTGTAATACAATGGGGCTGGAAACACCGCTTGTATGCTTGAGGACAACCGACCGATGAGCTGAGCTAATTCGCGGACTGTTAAGGTGTTCGCCTGCAGAACTTCTTGACAATGATTGACGATATGGTTGACTTTCTCTACTGGTAGAGACAATGTCATTGTTTCGGAGTTGATTTGAAACCCGAGGTATGTGATTTGCTGTGCAGGTTGGAATTTTGACTTTTCCTGTTTGATGACGAATCCTAGTTCCTGAAGTGTAGTTGCCGTGAACTGGAGATTCTCGGTGCATTCTTTCACAGAACTGCCCATTATGAGTATATCGTCGAGATAAAACACACATCGAATTCCCTTTGCTCGGAGCTGTGCTGCCACTGGCTTGATAACTTTCGTAAATGTTCGAGGAGCACTTGACAGCCCAAATGGGAGGCATGCAAATTGGAACAACTGGCCTTGCCATATGAAACGAAGATACTTCCGATGATCCTGATGAATAGGAATCATAAAATAAGCGTGTTACAACTGATAATGTAGTAACCAGCGGATAATGTATCACCAACCGATAATGTATCACAAATTGACCGATATTGTATCACTAACCGATAATGTAGCAACAATTGACTGATAGCGTAGTACAATTTGTATCCGATAATGTATCACGTGTCGACGGATAATGTAACTACAAAATAACTGTATCCGATAATGTATCGCCTCGAAACGGATACTGTATCAACCGATAATGTATCAAAAATCAACCGATAATGTATCAGTATATTTGGAAAAGGTGGAAATATTGTAAATTAATTAAAGTCTAATAAGTGCCTTTACTATAATGAGTCCCCACCCATTAAGATTTTTTTTTTTAATTTGGGAGGGAGTTGCTCTGGTTTGGGGACGCTCTACTTCCAAGTGGGCCTAGGCTAGTGGCGCATCCAGCTTTTGATGTCGGGTTGAGGGGGGGGGGGGTCACCGCACTCGCACATCCGCGCCGAAATGTGGACAAGTTCTTTTCTCCGGACACTTGGCCTCCGTATGGGCTCCGTGCTCCAACCAAGAGGGCGCGTTTTACCACTTTTGAGAGCACCATGGACGTACGTCCCTCCCAAATTAAAAAAAAATCTTAATGGGTATAGTAAAGGCACTTATTAGACTTTCATTAATTTACAATATTTCCACCTTTTCCAAATATACTGATACATTATCGGTTGATACAGTATCCGTTCCGAGGCGATACATTATCGGATACAGTTATTTTGTAGTTACATTATCCGTCGACACGTGATACATTATCGGATACAAATTGTACTACACTATCAGTCAATTTTTGCTACATTATCGGTTAGTGATACAATATCGGTCAATTTGTGATACATTATCGGTTGGTGATACATTATCCGTTGGTTACTACATTATCAGTTGTAACAAGGTCCACTGTGTGAGTAGTTTATCCTTTCTTGTTATTTTCCACAAAGCTGGATTGTGACTGAGATCGTGCAAATAAATAATCTTTAAAAAAGCTTCATCTGTAGTCTTGCTTATTAATTATTAGAGATTTTGGTAAAAATGAACAGAAGTCTTTGTAGAAATTGTAGATATAATTCATCTTGCGTAAAATATACCTTTGCAAGTTTACAAACTTCCACAAAACGTATTATTTTGCAACATTGGAACGTATAATTGGTTTGAACATTCTACCTTTTTATTGCTTATGTGAACTGTTACTATCGTATTTCAGGAAAGTCATCATGGATTGGACTTCTTGCATTATCTTCATGCAAACTACACCAGAAAAACTACGTTGTCCACAAAATGGTTTAAATTGTAACGCCGGAGAAGTAGATGCTCAATTCCTGGATAATGTTGAAGGGTTTAGGGCAATAAATGCATTGCAAGTTGATGTAGAATACGGAGCCGTAAGGGACAGTAGAAACTTTTGTGGAAAATAATGCCTCGTTGCATCGTTCCTGAGGTAATCATTTATGAGATAATCATGACGTAAGACATTGCATTTTAACGAATCATTGATCACAACAGGGGATAGGAGCGAGGGTCAAATGAACATGTACATACATGTTTAATTAATGCATTAAATTAGAAAACATCCCTCATGTTATCAAACTATTTGTTACAGTATTTAAATCTTTAAATACTAGAAAGAACGTAGCACAAAATTGGCAACTGCACTGATTTCCTTGATCTCAGAACGTATATTAAATGTAAAAAAAAAACCATCCATGGCTTATTCCTAACTAATATCTCAATTTTAATGTATAAGTGTGTAATAATTAGCCGATGACGTCATAATGATGTAATAAATGGCCCTTCCCATCATCCAATTTTTGTATCCTACCTTGTTTTCGAAAAGGTAAACAATGGAGATGCTTTCGTGTGAGAATGGTGCTTTTGTCCACCCGTGTCATGATTTTATCACTAAGGTACCTCACTTTTCCGCTTATCTTTGGAAAAAGTTTAAACATTTAAGATACTAATAATCAATTACAAAAACTCTTTTGGCATAGAATTTGAGCCTTTCTTTCTGACTTAAAAACAACATCTCACAATACCACATACTGTTTGCATGTTAAAACAAGGTGTCAAAGTGACTACCCAAAATCCATGATTTTAGCCGGAAAAAACAGGTCTTTTGACCAAAAAGGTTTTTTTGACCCACAAAATCACCCTCAACTATACTCCATCCCAATGACATACCACTCAAATGAAAGATCTTGTTGTCCCCTTTAATTTGATACCAAATTTGTTGTTGAGATGCTTGCAGTTCGCAAGATTATTATTAATTTATATTTGTTCATGTAATAATTAGCTGATGACGTCATAATGACGTCATACATGCCATTTCCATCATCCAATTTTTTGCGTCCGTCTTTTTTTCGAAAAGGTATACCATGGAGATGCTTTGGCGAAAAAATGGTGCTTTTGTCCACTGTGTAACGATCCTAAGCATTTTTGTTATTAATGTACCTCACTGTAAGGGACTGACTGCATCCTACAAATTGTATATTTACACCGTACGATCAGATAGCGCTGTTTCCCTAATCCATAAAGACGTAATTCTTTCAAGACGTGTTCATTATATCGAGTCTGTTCTATGCGCACTACTTGCGCTAACTATAGTCCCTTTCACCATTCAATAATTATACATGCAAACATCACAATTAGTTGCATGTAGCCTGTCGCCATGGCTAGCGTCGGCTGAGTTATTTTCAGTTCATTAATACAGTTCAAAAATCACATGTTTACATTCAAATTGCTGTATACATTGTAATAACAAAAACATTCGATGGAAGCTCTTTTTCCACGATTGAGGTCTTCGTATATAGCTCACTTTCAATAACGCTGCTGTAACTTAAATTGTAATTAATACTGTATTATTATAGATCTATGATTTTGCTCTATAACTGACTTTGCCCAGGGTGAAAAACCAGAGATAAAACTATATGAGGTAAAACTCTGGAAAACCTTGTGGCCTGTCCCTTATACATTGTGTAATTCTTGAATGCATAACTTACTGGTACGTATACATACTCAAAGTGTCTCATCTTCTTTTAAATGGAATTTACCATGTATTATGGTCGTTATTAAAAATACCGACCTAGCGCGTGGTGGACGCAGGCTAGAATGGCCATACCACGGCCACACACGCCCTTTACTCTATTACGTGCTCAATGACATTCTATTCAAATTAACCCTATTCTTCATCCTGTTCACTCAAGCATCAAGCTTGTGAGTTACATACAGACACATTTTTCCTGCTATACTTCGTACCGCAGGAAAATAAACGTCTGTTCTATGTGCACTACTTGCGCTAACTTTAGTCCCTTTCACCACTCAATAATTATACATGCAAACATCACAATTATTTGCATGTAGCCTGTCGCCATGGCTATAGACTTTCAAAGAACGGGTGCTTCAGCTATTAATGCTAAACTTATTTGCATTCTATATATGTTCTACTTTTAATTATTCCTTGAGTTTTCAGCATTGCGTGATTTATAGGCTATTTACATTTGAAATTTTGTAGTTTTATCTCAGTAGTTTGGTAAGGTCATAGTAAATTTACTTATTTTTACTTTTATTACAATTGTTTGTTTACCTGTTATTTACATTTTTGCAAATCACTTTGAGGTCTCGGCATAAGGTGATGTATAACACTGTGTCGTTATATCAAATTCCAATTGACCTTTGATTTACAAGTTTAACTGCTTGGTTACCTCCAGTCTGTTTTCTAGGGAATCTACAACATAACCATCTTTTGACAAATCGCTCTTCCATCTCCCATGTCTTCTCCAGCATCTCTCATTTACGGATGCCCTAAAGGCTTGCTGCCATGGAAGCGCCTCCTGCTCTCAATGAATGTAAACCTATGTTACTGTCGCCACATACTTCCTTTAACCTGGCCACTACTGTCTCTTTGGCCCTTGTGTAGCTTAATGGCTTATTGTTGTTAATCAGAAGGCATTTGCCCTTACTGCTGTATGCAGGTTTGAATAAAAATTGATCGGAACTTAAGTCGATCTTTGCAATGCTGATATACCTCTTAAGCATTGTTACTGGGCATGCTGCTGTTAACCCTTCATGAACTACGACATTATTTCCTTGTCTGTATTGGTCTGTTTTACTTTTTGCTATGTGGATCGACATATAATTATCAAAAAAAGTCACATCTTTACATTTGATTGCGCTTACTTCGTTAAATCTCATAAACCCAGCAAAACACAGTAAAATAATACTCAAATCTCTTAACACTAAAACTTCTTGAGCTAACGAATATTTTTCGCACAATAAAATTAACTGCTCTTTGGAAACGACATCTTTTTTATGAACTGGAACACTGTTCTGCCTTTTGGCTGACTCCAACAAACTATTTACATAATGGTTGTTAGTAGGATCTGCCAATCCCCTGACTTTATGTGCCCACTTTATCCCATACACTGCGGACTGAACTAGGGTAGTGTTTTGATACAGTTCCGTCGCTTCTAGACTGTAGCAGGTGGTTGGCCATACTCTCCGCCAGTGACAGCAGGTGTTCTGAAGCAGTCCCGGTGGAAATCACATCTTGCAGCACTGCATCTCTAAGTCCTAAGTCTAAAAAACAAAGACTTTAGAATGTTACCCTCAGTGCGATCATTTTGAAGTTACTTCCTCTTTTACCGAAGATTTCATTGTTTCCTCTACCTCTTTCTGTTACTTCTGCACCGAATTCTCGGAAATTTTTGACAAAAGCCTTAAATTACTGGCCTCCTTGAACTTTAGGCCAAAACGGCGCTGACCGCCACAAAGGTATTACTAATGTGCCCTTTGCTTTTTCGTGCACGATTTTGTCTACGGTTTTACAGACAAGTCTCGGTGGCGGGACCCACCAGTTTATATCTCTGCCCCACGGCTGCATGAATGCGTCTATGCCTGATGTACCAGGGCACCACCATCTAGAATTATATATTTCACATTGACTGTTCTCGTGACTGGCAAACCTGTCACAAGTATGAGGACCCCATTCTCTGTCCAATTCCTCAAATACCATCTTGTTGATCTTCCAATCATCGCTATCTTTGCACCTACTTAATGTATCAGCTTTTTTATTCTGCTCTCTTGGAACCCAAACTGGTTGTATCTGTACATTTCTAGCTTCACATGTATTGCTGATTTCTACAGCTGTTTTTTGCAAATCACACTTTTTGCTCCCTTCCAGGATGATTTTCACAACATTCTTGTTATCTGTGTACCACTTGACACTGTGCCCTTCCAGGCTGTTTTCTAGTGAGTGCAATGTCCTGTCCAATGCCTCAAGTTCCCTCCATGTGGAACTCTTACCCTGCTCTGCATCTTACCAACTACCCAGTACCTCTGTACCTTCTTTCTCCGCTATATAACCTGCGTACCCAGTACCTGATGCGTCTGAGTACAACGAGTAGCTGTATTTCAGAACTGTCTGAATTTTTGTACCATTTAAGGTCCTGATTTGACTCTTCCAGAATCTCAACTCTTCTTGGGCTTAATTGCTTACACGAACGGGAGCTTCCCAGCTAGCTCTACTGTTAATGCACCTGAACAATTCTCTGGTTCTGAGCTGAACAACTTTACCTTCTGCGACCTGTGTGGATATAATCTGACCTGCGATTTCTGCTACATCTCTAACTGGTATCAAATTGATTCTCTTTAACTTTTCCTGTAATCTTTCGATTGATACTGTGATCTTGTGTACTCTTCTTTCAATAATGTAGACTTTTCCCTCCTCTGTGTTCCAGTCTAATCCCAACCAAGTCAGTCTAGTTTGTGGTCTCCAATTGCATTTTTCTTCTGCTAACAGAAAACCCAAACCTTTCAAATCTTTTTGGATCATCAGACTTAACTCTTTTGCTGAGCCTAGATCATTTGATCCCCCTAAGCCATCATCTAGGAACATCAATATGTTATGACCTTTTGATCTCCAGTAAGTAATCACTGCTCGAGTGATCCTGGTATAAAAACACACAAGGGGCTGTTGAAATTCCAAATGGAAGAACACTGAAAACGAAATGCTCTTTCCCTTTCCCAAAATCCCAAGCAAAGCCTAAATATGTCCTATGCTCTTCAAAGATTTCTATATGATGATATGCCGATTTTAAATCGAAACCGAACAGATTATCCCCTGTTTTGAATGTGTCTTTGGCTGTGACTGCATCTTCATACTTAAACTTGTATTTACACAAATGAGGATTCACGTGTCTGCAATCTAGAATTAATCTGCATTTGCCTTTGTTTTCTGACACCGTGAAAGGATTCACCACATCTGGCTTTGTGTTCACCTTTGAGACACAACCTTTTCTCAATAACTTTTGTATCTCCTCTTCGACAAAATCTGTATGTTGTAGTGCTGATCTGTTGTTCTTGAGATCTACCTTATCCGGTACGCTATGTAACGGTATTTTGTATCCGTTTTCTACAATACCCAAAACAACTTGATTTGAGGTTATCTCTTTCCATTTCCCTGTAGCTGTTCTCAATCTACCTCTCGGCGTAAGGCCTTCTACGCTGTCCTTTATACACTCAGCTTGATCACCACCCTTTGTTGGGCATACTTGTTTCAATAATCTAACCTCACTTCTTTCACCTTTAAAATACAGTATTCCTGACTGATTCCACTTATCTTATTTTCCGTCTCTCCAATCTTCTGTAGACTTCTGCATTCTGCACGCCAATGCCCCGGCTTCCCGCACGAAAAACACAGTCCTGGTTTCTTCGAGTAGCTGGTTGAAGTCGCTTGCATGACCGCTCATGTTGGGTAACTGTTGCTCTGTTCTGTATTATAGGGGCGTGGTCTCCGATAGCTGGACATTCTCTTTGTTTTTTGTTTCAGCTTTTTCTGGGCCCTTGACTCTGCTTTCCAGATCTTTTTCTCGTCCTCCGAGTCTTCGGCGATGACGTTTGCTTGGTACTCTGTGACGGTCCTCCATCCGAGTTCGGAACTGTCCGCAATCTTGATTAACTTCTGTCTATTCTCGATGAGCGCCCTACCTTCTTCTATCTTCTCCTGTGCCTTGGAAGTAATCTGTCGAATTTCAGGTTCTTCTGTCAGCAAAGCGTCTGCTTCTTTAAGTTTCTCTTGGACCTTGGCGTTAGCCTTGTATTGTTCCTCGTTGCCCTTCTTGTTGAATTTATGTTTCTCGTTGTTGATCTGCTCGATTTCGGCAACTTGCACATCGCTCAGCTTTCGTTGATTTTCATTAATTTGCTGATTGAAAGAATTCAACTTTCCTGTTATTAGCTCGTCGAGTTTGTTTAGTAGCAGCCCTTGAGCCTCTTGTACTTGTTCGTGGACTTGGTTTCTTATCAAGGATGGTAGGTCTGTGCGTGACTCCATAGCCCCAAAAAACGACCTAGCGCGTGGTGGACGCAGGCTAGAATGGCCATACCACGGCCACACACGCCCTTTACTCTATTACGTGCTCAATGACATTCTATTCAAATTAACCCTATTCTTCATCCTGTTCACTCAAGCATCAAGCTTGTGAGTAACAAACAGACAAATTTTTCCTGCTATACTTCGTACCGCAGGAAAATAAACTTATCTTTCACCGACTTAACCTACCTGCATGTACAGTGGGGGATGGATTATTGAGCGTTCTAAATAACACTTGCCAGGAGTTACGCAACAGTAGTGAACACTGACTCCCTCGGACAATGGGACTTAATTGGCAGCGCACGGCATGTGCGGGAGCTTCATATATCTGTACGTGAAAGAAGTCGATGAAGTTGACTGACTAAACATGATTTCAAGCATTAATACCCCTTTATTGTTGTCTGTACAGGAATGCGCCGAAACCTAGTTGTACCACCGTGCCGGACTTGTTTACAAAATCAAGGATATAAATAACTAGGTCTTTTTGTGTTAAAGCAATGGTATGTACTTCTATTTTATATTAAAGATTTAGAGTGTCATAAGGCAACTAACTTTTTACCCCCAACAAAGTCCCAAAGTTGGACACGGTGCGTGATAAAGCCATACATGAAGCATTAAAGACCGTAAATATTTCGGGGATTATTGACAGGGCGTGTCCAAACACTAATTATATGACTGCTTGACAGTAGGGCTTTCCCGATTGTTTAACTGTAAGACAACACCAACAAAGAAAAAATATAACTGCAGAAAGTGTATACATGATAGCATTATTGCTTTATTGACGTCATTTCTCATTGAAACACTCGTGTTTTTTTAAATTTGTTTTTAAATGTATTCTTTGCAATTATATCAACAGTGATCTCAATGTAACGTTGACTAGTCTTTAATCGTCTCTGTCTTCCTCGTTAATGTCATCTTCATCTTGATGGAACAGGCCGTCAAATTTGGCCTGGTGTTTAGATATGACCCTGCTGACAGCCGTGGGCAGTAGAATACCGGAGTGATTGACTCTGTCATCGATCTCGTCCACAATTTCTTGATGAGTATCATTATCTTTCAGATGTATGTAACTTGACAAAAAAATCTTTGTATTTGTTGAAAAAGATTCGCTTGACTGCCCACAAGGTCTTCCTGTTGGCCTTTTCCGTGGCCTGATCTTCACTCATGCCCTCGTTGATGTACTTCTCATGTTTTTCACTCCACGTCTCATTGGTGGCTTCTATGGCCTCTTTAAACCAGTCTAAGTAGGCTGCATTGTCTTCCAAATCAGAACTGGATTCATCTTCATCAGATGATTCGTCATCTTCCACCTCTGTGACGGATTCGGAATCATTTTCCTCAACAGATAAAAAAAAAAAAATCTTAACGAAAACTAGAGCTGTTTCGGTATGAGAAAAACTAGAAATGTGTTTGTGGACAAACACAAGCTGTTTCGGATATTTGAAATACTCTGTGCACGTGATGAGCAATCAGTGACGTCATTACAAATGTCATATTGTAACAGCACATTGGTACATATCAAGTTACATCCAAATCGAGCATACAGTTCTGTAGATATAGGCCTTTAATACAAAAGTGCCCCTTTAACGGACATCACATGACATCTGATGATGATGTCACTTCAATTTCCATCTATAACACATCCATGTGAATATGCATACCAAGTTTTAATCCAATCTGACTTGTACTTCCGAAGTTCAGTTTGAAAAAAAAACGTCTCCGAATGATTTGCATAAAAATAGTGACCGCGTGAGGTCGCTGTTCGTGCTGTATTTTTACATGCATGTGCATAGCGCGTGAGGATATATGCCGACGATTGACCGCGTACGGGACGAATAACGACGAGAGCATTGACCAAGGCTATAACAAACGCGACGGCACGACGCGACGGCACGACGCGACGGCACGACGCGACGGCACGACGCGACGGCACGACGCGACGGCACGACGCGACGGCACGACGCGACGGCACGACGCGACGGCACGACGCGACGGCACGACGCGACGGCACGACGCGACGGCACGACGCGACGGCACGACGCGACGGCACGACGCGACGGCACGACGCGACGGCACGACGGCACGACGCGACGTGTGAAGGTGCGTCGCTTCCTCATGCAGTGTACGTGCTTAGAAACGGTAATTTAAGAGACGACGGCACGACGCGACGGGCGACGGCACGACGCGACGCCACGACGGGCGACGGCACGACGCGACGGTACGACGCGACGGCATGACGTGAAAGCACGACGCGACGCAGATTTGGCGTCTATAGAACACCATACTACGGTACCAAACACCATTGCCCCACTTGTGACGCGGAAATGGCAGTAATAGAATTCCATAGTCTCGACTTTTGCCTGTGATCTATAGGGATCATTAATTGCAAGATCTATGTTGGTTGAAAAAAAAAACGTATTTAACAGTTGTCCAAATGTTTGAAATTACCTTTCATTGGGGATTTAATGAGAATGGGATTATGGCAAAATATCAATTATAAGTAACGATTTATAAAATAATTAAGCATTATATTTTCAATCGATTATTTCAATTATTTCTAGGTCAGAAGCATTATTTATTCATAATTCTCATCATGATCTTTTCTGTTTTGCCCTGTTCTTTCCACAGTCCTGGAGCTTTAAAGAATACAGGAAAACTGAAGAAAGTCACAGTGATTTCTAACGGTAAGCTTGAGTAATACCATTCAAATCTCAATTCTAAAGCTCAATATCGCCTCACAAGAGGTTTACAAATACCTTATACTTATTTGGGGAATATTGTGAAAAACGTATTCAGAAAATCGAAGAAAACAAAATAAAATAAACCTGTGAAATTTTAATCTGCAAAAAAAGGTTAACCTCTAGTTTTATATTTTCTTTCAGTGAGTGATGCTACGTGTTTGGATCTACCAATTTGTACTTTTGGCCTTCCACCTAAGCAACCCAACCACGCCGCTGGTTTCTACTTAAACGATTCCTGGAGATCAAAAATTTGCCGTGCGAGGGAATTCCATCTACCCGTCACTCTGAAATATCTGAGCAATAAAAGTCTTTACTTCTACGTTGACTCCACCATACGGCAATGGTTTGAGTATCTGGCCACGAACCTCGGTAAAACTATGAAGGAAGAGGCAATACCCGGCGTCGGCAGTCCCAATGTCGGTCCGAGGCGCGCACGGGACACCCAGCATAACATCACTATGTTTTTCCGCTTTCATGAGTACCCGATAAGGAGCGGATGGGTTAACGTCACGGACATCAAGTTCACGGTCAGCGAGATTGATGGCTTGGAGGGCGGTGCGGACACGGTGGTAGCTTTCACCCTGTGGGCTCATTTCATCCCCACCAATCTCACCTATTACCGGTCCCGACTGGAGCACATCAGGGACGCCCTTGCGCGGCTGCAGAAGCGAGGGACGGGCACCAGCCCCGTCTTCTTCAAGTCTGCCAACACGAGGAACTCCGTCTCCACAGATACCAGCGATCTGTACGCCTACGATCTGGACCAGACGATGAGGGCGGTGTTTGCCGACGTTCCTGACGTCACCGTCATTGATGTCTGGGATATGACTTTAAGCCACCGGAGCGGATATCGCCTTCATCCTGTCAAAGATGTCATCAGGGAGGAAGTCAAGATGTATCTTAATTTCCTTTGCGAGATGCCTTCTGTTTAATAACAACTATTCTTGATATGCAGGTGGGAGGGGCTGTTTTGTTTTCGTGATTTTTACATCTAAATCCAAAGAATCCAAGACTGAGGTATAACAAAACAATTGATGACGGTTGTGATGTGGGATATGACTTTTCGAACACCCTCGGGCGCACTATGCGCCCTTCGGTGTTCAAGACGTCATATCCCGTACACAGCAGTCAACAACTGTTGTTAGTTTCACTTCTCTAAATGATAAATGATAAGTAACCGGAAAAGTGGGACTGTAAAACAACATTATTTCAAACATAAAGAAATGAAAAAATTAACTTAACCACAATAGAGGAAAATAAAATAACAATGAAATAAAAGAATGATGGCAGTTTGCAGTTGGAAAATTACACTCATGTAATTACTTTAAAAAGATTAAAGGAGATCAAAAGAGATCAACACTTTGAAGGGGGAGGGGCTATTTCCAGCTCAAGGTTTTAACACTTAAAATAATGAGCGGCCAATCTTGTGTTAAACAGTGTAAATGAATCAATTAATAGAGAGTCCCTTATATGTGATGGCAAACTACTCCAGATTCGGGGAAAGTCATGACGAGGTGTGTTTTTCAGGGTTTGAGTTCTAGCATAGTGGTGATTAAATGTGAGACAATCCGGGTGACGAGTGTTCACTACTGTGTTGGCCTTTACTGATTGGCAGTCAACTAAGTTAAACAGTAACCTGTTTGCACCGCTGCTTTGTTCGGGCTCCAGAGTCTATTGGTGTAGTCTTAGATATGGGGTGGAAAGATTCGAGCGTAAAAAGCGGAGTCCGAACAAAGCAACCTTTTGGCAGGGTGTGCAGGGCGGGAAAAATAATTAATCAGAGCCTAACCACCGATTAACAAACATGCCTTTCTTTGTTTCTCTCTGTCGGGGCCTATCCACCGACCAACAAACAGGTTTCTTTTTGTTTCTCTCTGTCGGGGCCTATCCACCGACCAACAAACAGGTTTCTTTTTGTTTCTCTCTGTCGGGGCCTATCCACCGACCAACAAACAGGTTTCTTTTTGTTTCTCTCTGTCGGGGCCTATCCACCGACCAACAAACAGGTTTCTTTTTGTTTCTCTCTGTCGGGGCCTATTCGCCGACCAACAAACAGGTTTCTTTTTGTTTCTCTCTGTCGGGGCCTATCCACCGACCAACAAACAGGTTTCTTTTTGTTTCTCTCTGTCGGGGCCTATCCACCGACCAACAGACATGTCGCTAGATCGATTTTCTATACTGTAACAACAAATGTAATAGCATTATTTGAGCACCATGTGCAGTAGAACGGACAGCCTGCGAAAATTCCTATTTTAGCAGGGTTCTGCGCTCACTAATTAAGGGCCAATTCAATTAAGAGTGTTGCGGGTAGGACAGTTTTCCAGTTCGTTCGTGACGTCATAGGCGTAGAATTTTCTGGGTCAACAGAGGGCACTCTCAGCGCGCCAGCATTGTCACATATTTTTGTCAAGTTTGTAGAAATCCGTCAAAAGGTTCCTTTGATTTTGCATCATATTCGATACGCCCAATGTTGTGAGTACTTATAATTGTTTAGAGATTTAGATAAAGGGTTAAAGATAATGTGTATAAAGGGGGTAATAATTACGGTCATTAGATATAGTTTTTGGGTCAACTTTTGGGGATAAAATTTGGTTAGAATTAGCGATGCACGTTTTATACATGTTTACTAAATGCACGTGACATGATTCTCACATCAGTTTATATGGATTACTGTCAACCAAGGTTAATTTCGGAGACTTGAATATTAATTTTAATGTAAACATTGATGTACTAGGACACACACATGTATTTTTTACTGAGAAAATAATTCACGCTAGACACAATTTCATGAGTTTGGGGATCAAATCAGTCAGTTTAATTCATTTAGTCATATTGTAATTGATTCATGTATATGCAGGTACATTTTGACATAATGTTAGAGACTTATTGTATTTTTTGGTTTTATATTAATTGCAGATTGAACCGCAGTCACATTCGCATTCGCATTAGCATAGCATCAACAAACTACTTGAGTGTACAAACCCGTCACACATTTTGCTATTGGGTTTTGGTACAATACAAGGGAAAACAGTTCTTAAATCGTCATCAAAGGAGTCCTTTTTTTGTCGTCATCCGTCACAAAGAGCCTATCTATCCAACAAGAGTCCATCCGAGTTGGGGCAATAGGCTATTTCAAATAAAAGAATGCACAAATGGGACTAGTTGTCACTTATAGATTTAGTGCGAGGCAATGACTGTTTGTTAAACATTTCATCCATAACCTCGATGTTCGTACACAAATGTTCACATAAAAACCGAAGCGAATTTTATACAAGTAGATTCGCATGTTCCTTTGGCTCCGTGCGCCTTTTGACTACATGTACTTTGAAAAGTTCCAGTATACTCGGCATACACGGTGTGGCCGTTCTGGTACATGCACATAAAACTTAGTACGCATTAAAGTGCCACGCGTCGTTGGGAATAGTCGGTTTCTGCGGTAGCTCTCCCTGGCAATGCTGTAAAAAGGGTCGGGAATCAGGATGTGGATTCATGAAATGATATGGGATATAAAGGGGTTATGTTGTGGAATGTGGAAACAGGCAATGATATAGAAGGGGTTGGGTCCCTATGATGTGGATACTGACAATGATATAGAGGTGGATGGGCCCCTCTTTCGTGAAAAAGGCTATGATATACAGGTGGATGCATGGGCACCTCGGATGTACTGACTCTCTCAAGTTTGGCTGCATTGGATGCTGTGTATGGGGACCAAGCTGGCAACCCATATTCTAATACAGGCAAGACACGTGAGCGATAGAGGGATGCCAAGGCCTTGGTCGAAGCACCACCCGCAATGTGCCAGATAAAGCCTAATGTCTTATTGGCCTTTGAGACAGTGGCATCGACGTGATGGTTCCAGTTCAGTGAGTCGTTGATGATAACCCCAAGATATTTGGATGAAGGTGTTACATTGAGCGATTGACCATAAAGAATGTAACTTGGAAGAACTGCTGGTTTCCGGGATCTGGATATGTGTATGACCTTGGTTTTCTTGATCCCATTGAGATTACTCCATTGTTTAAGTGCAGTTAGGTCCGACTGGAGGGAGAGTTCATCTTGGGGTGAGTAGATTTATCCGCAAAGAGTGCAAAGTTTGTGGATAAGTCATGAGAAATGTCATTAATAAATAGATTAAACAGGAGGGGGCCAAGGACACTGCCTGAGGGACACCTGAAGTAACTGGTGCCCACTCAGAGAAGCATCCCCGATACGCAACTCGTTAATTGTTGACGACCTATTAGAAAGGACTTTATCCAGGTCCATGTCGATCCACGAATATTGAAGTTGCTGGCAAGTTTGTAAAGTAACGTATGGTGAGGCATAACATCAAAAGCCTTACTGAAATCGAGTCAAGGAGGATGCGGTTTATCCAAGATAGTTGTCCAATCATGGATTGTGTTTGCAAGCTGGGTGACACATGATTTGGAGGCAGTGAAACCATGTTGCTGGGGGGTTGCCGAAGCAGAGTGATGTTACATGGTCGTTGATGTTGTCAGCAACAGCCCTCTCCAACAACTTGCAGATGATTGATGTCAACGCTACTGGACGGTAATTCTTGATATCGGTACGACTGCCAGACTTGAAGACCGGAGTTATTTGTGAGAGTTTCCAATCTGCTGGGACAACGCCAGTAGCTAGGGGTGAGTTCAATAATCGCATCAGAGGCGGAGCAATTGATAATGCAGTCGCTTTTAGAATTCTTGGTGGTATTGCGTCGTGACCTGGTGCCTTTTGAGGATTTAAGTTGGACAGCGACTTAACAAGCCAGCCAAGGTTCACTGTCGTGGGGTGAATCTCTGGAATTTGGAAGTCACAAGATGGTGGGGTCTCTGCAGGAGCTAGCCCCTGTTGGAGTATGGACAGAGGTGAAGAACTTGTTGAATGCGTGGCAAATATCGGCAAGCTTGTGGAGCTGTGTCACGGCTGTCGTGAACGCAGGCGGACATTTGGATTTCCTTTGGTCCTTAACAAAGCTCCAAAAGCTACGTTTGTTGTCCGGCAGGGCAAACAAGTCATGTATTTCCAGTACTCCTTCTTAGTTTTGTTTTTCACCTCATTACAGATAAGTTTATACCTGCTCCAGTCACTGCTGTCACCGCTCGATTTGGCCTTGACGAAGACTTTTTGTTTCTGTTTGATGATGTGTTTCAGTGCAGGTGTTGTCCATGGGAATATGCGACGGTTGCATGTCTTCCTGGGAATGCTGTCTCGAATTGCTGCATCCAGTATGTCCAAGAAACCCTCCCATGATTCCGTGGGATCACTGTCCTGCATGAATGCAGTCCATGGCGCAAGATGTAAAAGTGTCTCTAAATGTGAGAAGTTTGCTTTCTTGTATTACATAAATGATCGTAGGACTTTGGATTCAGGGGGAGTTCTATTAGCAACAAATGAGAAAAACACTGCGCGGTGATCGCTGCTGACTGGATTTGCTACTGTTTCAACTGAACGGAATTTTTCCTGCCGGTTTTGTGAAAATAAGATCAATGATAGTCCCAGACGATGAAGAATTATTTGATGGCCGGGTCACTTCATCAACCAGTTGAATGAGGCTATTGAGTTGATTACTCCTTGCAAATTTGTCAGTGAGGGAGATTCAGTACACCAGTTTATATTGAAGTCGCCTAGCAGTATCATTCCTTCAAAGTTACGAAGATCTGATTGGAGGTTGTCACAGACATCTTGAAGTTTATCGAAAAATGTTACATCAGAGTTTGGGGGACGGTACACAATTCCAACAAGCCATTTCGAGTGTCTAAGGGTCAGTGATAAGAAAGTTATCTCGATGTCAGTGGGGTTAAGGTGGTCGAGATGAGCCGGAAGCAGCGAATCCTTCACTATTGCCATGATGCCACCACCTCGGTTAATCCTGTCACGTCGGATAGTGAAATATCCAGGTATACTTAGGACATTATTTGCTGACAGCCATGTCTCTGTGATGCAGACAATGTCCACAGGATGAAGCTCCAGAA